AGCAAAAGGTCAAGATGGAAGTTATATTGTACGTACTTCGATGCACTCTCCAGGGAATTTCGTACTCTCGACACGAGTTGGTGACGAGGTCTCACACGTTAAAATAAACCACAAGGATGGTTCTTTTCAAATTGATAACGGACCGGCATTCCGATCTCTGAACTCGCTCATAGATTACTACAAGGAGAATGACATGGTTGAGGTATCTGGACGAGTTGTTAGTCTCAGACAAGCTTATTGCACCACTTCCTTTCTACCCAAGCACATCGAGCAGAGGGTGGAGGAGTTACGTCAACCGAACGATGAGCTTTTTGGTAAAACGGGATTTGAGGAGGAGTATCAGCAGTTGCAGCATGAGGGAACACAACACCTGTACACTCGTAAAGAAGCAGGGAAGCCATTGAACCGACAGAAGAACCGGTTTAAGAATATTCTACCCTTTGACCACACTCGTGTTGTATTGGCAGAACCAGATTCCAGTGGCAACACGTACATTAACGCTAACTATGTGAATGGGGAAGTACCTGGATCAAACAATTACTACATTGCAACTCAAGGATGTCTCCCGGGAACAATAAATGACTTCTGGTCTATGGTGTGGCAGGAGGACAGTAAGATCATTGTGATGATCACGAATGAGATTGAGAGAGGAAAGAATAAATGTGCCCGATATTGGCCGTCAAAAGGAGAGACTACTCTGTACGGTAACATTCAAGTAATGAATATTGATGAAATCCAGGGAAGACTGTATGTATTTAGGAAATTATACATAGAGCATGTTAGCAAGAAAGGGCGTGGTCACTATGTTGTACAGTACCAATTTAAAGTGTGGCCCGATCACGGGGTCCCTCAAGACCCCTCCCACATGCTGGACCTAATGGACGATGTTAATAGGAAGGCATTGGAGATACAGCAAAGGGGCGAGCACTTTGGACCAATGATCGTCCATTGTAGTGCCGGCGTCGGGCGTACTGGCACGTACATAGTCGTTGATATAATCACAAAGATGATGGAGTACAACAAATTTGAATATGAGATTGATGTTCAAGGTAGCGTCCAGATGCTGCGGCATCATCGCTCGGGGATGGTTCAGACTGAAGACCAATATAGGTTCTTGTATTATGCTATCAAGGCTTATATCGAGAGAAGGCAGTCGTTGAACGAAGCTCTTTATGTAAACGTAACCACAAAATAATTTAAAGTATTGCGAAACCTCCTTCAAACATGAGTTAATTAATAGTTATTGTTGTGTTACTTATTATTATTATTATTATTATTATTATTATTGTTATTGTTATGTAGTTAATTAAATGTGTGAATGTTGTATTATTTTCTTATTTAATTTTTTGCAAGTTAATTTCAAGTATGAATTTATGGGCAGCTGCAATTGTCGACTCTGAGCTTGTTTATAGTCAACAGACACTGTTGATACAATGGGGACCACACACACACACTACATGTGGTATATATGATACATATACATGTACTTATGTTGTGTAGAAAGTTTGAGCTGATTCTGAACAAGTTTGGATTTTTAATGATTTTTTAAGTTTCTCCAAAATCGGACAAAAGTCCCTGTACTATAGTACAGGGATTTTTGTCAAATTTCACAAAAATTGACAAATAGAAAATTAATCAATTTTATTACATTTTCTGATACATATACATGTACTTATGTTGTGTTGAAAGTTTGAGCTGATTCCGATCAAGTTTGGATTTTTTATGATTTTTCAAAGTTTCTCCAAAATCAGACAAAAGTCCCTGTACTATAGTACAGGGATTTTTGTCAAATTTCACCAAAATTGACAAGTAGAAAATTCCTCAATTTTATTACATTTTCTGATGCATATACATGTACTTATGTTGTGTAGAAAGTTTGAGCTGATTCCAATCAAGTTTGGACTTTTTATGATTTTTTAAAGTTGCTCCAAAATCAGACAAAAGTCCCTGTACTATATATAGTACAGGGATTTCGGCTAAATTTTTCCAAAAATGAAAGGGAGAGAATTCCTCAATTTTATTACATTTTCTGATACATATACATGTACATATGTTGTGCAGCTGAATTCAATCATGTTTGGACTTTGGACATTATCAGGAATCTTTAGAATCTCCTCATTCTCCTGACGTTAACCACGTGGTTGAAATGAACAAAAATGGTCATGTCCGGTTATGTTAATGACGTTTGCCACGTGGTTTAAGTAAACGGAGGGGTCATGCCCGGCTACAATAGAAATTAAAATTACAATTCTTCAGGGATCATGTCAGCAGTACAGGTAGCTCTGATTCTCTCTCTCGTCTCTCTCTTCTCCCTGCCAGTAAATGGAGACTATAAGATTGGAGTTGGTCGCTATGACATTACGGGCCCCGCAGCAGAAATTGAAATGGTAAAAGAACCAATCCTGAAACTAAAAATGCAAAAACTAACCATAATTTCTTCTTTATAGATGGGAATGGCGAATCCTTCTCAGATTGCTAACGGAATTCATTTCCGCCAGTACAGCAGAGCCTTTATTGTCGTGGATGCATCTAATGACACGAACAGGCTCGTCTTTGTTAGTATTGATGCGTGCATGGGGACACAAATCATGAAGAATAAGGTATTGGAAATCAAGCAAACTATTTTATAGTAATACTATCATTATTTTTTATAAAATATTTACAATGTTTTTAAATGATATCGTATACTTGGTGATTTTAGAAGGAGAAATCAGCATTTTGGTAGTCATTTTAGTTTGTCAAATTAAAAACCAACTTAGCCGATTCATCAAAAATTTTCTTTCTCATTAACAGCTAGCTATATTGTATTTTATAATGATATTCATTACATTATTATTATTATTATTATTATTATTATTATTATTATTATTATTATTATTATTATTGTTGTTTATTTCAAAGGTTGTTGAGAAGCTACAGAGCAACAAGACCTTTGCTGGCCTGTACACTGATGATAATGTTTGTATATCAGGGACCCACACCCACTCCGGACCGGCTGGGTACTTCCAGTACCTGCTCTACGAAATCACGTCAAGGGGTTTCTCACAAGAAACTTTAGACGCAATCGTGGATGGTACACAAATAATCACAATTTATTTATCTTTTATTTATTTATTATTTCAATAATCAGGTATTGTGGAGAGTATTGCAGAGGCTCATCAGAACATAGTCCCAGGGAAGCTCCTCTACAATACCGGGGTACTACTCAATGCCTCTAGAAACAGGAGCCCAACAGCTTATTTGCTGAATCCTGAAGCTGACAAAGCTCTGTAATAATAATAATAATGATGATGATGAAGATGATGATGATGATGATGATAACGATAAGTAATTATTTCATTTTCATTTTATAGATATCAATACGACACCGATAAGGAAATGGTTGTTATTAAGTTTGTTGATAATAATGGAGCGGATCTGGGAATGATAAAGTACATCTGTATGTTGTTAATGAAACATTAGTCTATCTTTATCT